CGCTTGTCGCATTCGACACCAATCGATGGCTGGGCCGGCGTCCACTTTTGACTCGAAGCGCGAAAGTGGGTGCTCAAGTCATCAGTGTACAGCTAGGATACTCAATCATTATGCGACTGCCGCGCGGCACAAGCTCATCTGATCGCGAGGGCGTGGTGCGCCACAGAAGCCACTCGTCACTCGTCACTGTGTCATCGGTGTATATCAGTATAAGCCAGCACACATACGCGAAGGCCTCCCTGATGGAGCTGATCATGAGCGCAGTGGTCTGGATCCTCATGGGTACGGCCGCGCGGCAGCTCCGATGTGTGTTGCTCAGAGTGACCGACTGAGGAGGCCTTGCGAGGCAAGCACGGGATGAGCGAGTGCAAACCGAATGCTGCATCGCACGCTACCTGTTCTAGATCAAGCATGAAGCTGACACTCGATGTCTGAGCCTTGACCCGCATACATGCGCTCCACATATATGAATCCTCTGCTTGTCTGTGAAGGAGCGACCTCTGATTGTCTGCGAGGCTACAACGCACGCAACACGAGGGTGCAAAGGTTGATGCACGTTATCATATATTTCCTTCCTAGCTCGATCGAGGACAATTGAGTCTACTTTCTGATAGATTCTCAAGCGCTGACAGCGTTGGTGATGATGCTCTATGGAGCGGGGCAAGGTAAATGTCAGCACGAAAGACGTAGGGAGGGAACATTGTGTGGCGATTCTGGCGGTCTGTAGGCAAGCCTCCGCTTGGATAGGGGGCCACAACAACCTCACACACTGTCTGACCGCCTTGATACTCACTTGCAGCTTCGAGGGGTCCGCGCCGAGGAGCTTGTCAACCTGCTGACCGTTCTTGAAGACCAAGAAGGTAGGCATGGCACGAATGCCAACCTCCTGAGCAATCTCTCCCTGCTCATCCACATCCACCTTGGCGAAAGTGGCAGATTCGCCAGTTGCCTCTGCGATCTTCTCAAAGATTGGGGAAATCATCTTGCAAGGCCCGCACCAAGTTGCCCAAAAGTCGATGATGGTAGGCTTGTCCGACTTGATCTGTAATGCGAGCATGGATGCGGAGCGATCAGCACGGAAGCGAATGAGCGTGCCACGACGCCGCGTGGTTTACTCACGAGCTCATCGAACTCGGACTTGCTGCTGATGACCTTGACACCCATGGTTGCGCGTGTGGTAGCAAAAGTTCTGGCAAGAGCGATCGGTGCTTGGCGTGCGGAAGCAAAGCTGCGAGCGACTGTGGCTGTAGTCCTGATGGAAGAGTTGAAGAGCATGGAGAGGTTACAAACAGCGATGGCTTCCTCCTGTTTTATACCTTTCTTGCTTCGAGAGTATAGATTCGTGGTGGCTCGGAGGTTGGATAAGTCCGCACAGCCCAATTTGACTCAACAGGTCACGCATCACGAATAATGTGAATCGGCGAGTCGCAGCGCGAGAAACTGAATCTCTGCTGGTCGAGCAGAGGGGACGTGCGTATCGGCATCCGCGCAGCCCGCAGCTGCATCGTACGCCATCGTGGGCCGATCACGCAAAATCGCAAGTCGCGCCCGTACGCGGCTGAGCTTGACGCGCGCCTTGCGGCCGCAACGACGACACAGGCGTGCACGCGGCGCGCGGATGATTCGAGAAGTTCTTTGAATCGATGATCACGTGATGCGCGAGGTTTGACCGTGACGGCCCACGCGGTTAGCCCTTCACTTTGACTCAAAGGCTTATCGATTTGAATCATGAATCGTGATTGACTGCTGCCTCCACCTCCACGTGTGCACGAACGCGCGGTCCGTATGATCATCATGCAATAAGCTGACCACCTGCCACATGTTGACTTTCGAAGAAAAAGCACAGCAGGGTGCTGAATACAGTATACTGTATGCATGCACATGCCTCTACCCTGACAAGCAGCCGCGTGCAGCGCCCGCGATGCAAGCCGAAGCGCGCAAAGAGATGCGGCTGCTCAGCTGCAACAGCGTAGGCAAGCTGCATGGCGAAGGAGAACATCCTCAACCCGGCGGCGCTCCGGTTTGCGTTTCGCAAGTAATGAGGATGTCGTGTGCCGCTGCAACGTATAAAGATGAGA